AGTACCTGGATGGGAGACCTCCTGGGAAAAACTAAGGTTGCTGCTGGAAGAGGTGTTAGTGGGGCCAGCAGGGGGCGCTCACCCTGCGGTCCATGTGGGTCCTGATGCCCCAGTATGGTGATGGGGACATTATACTGTAAACAGGCACCATCCTTCGGATGAGACGCAAAACCAAGGTCTTGACTCTCTGTGGTTATTAAAAATCCCAGAGCGTTTCTCAAAAAGAGTAGGGGTGTAACCCCGGTGTTCTGGCCAAATTTCCCATTGGCCCTTACCAATCATGGCCTCCTAATAATCCCCATCAATTAACTGGCTTCATTACTCTGCTCTCCTCCCCACTGAGAGCTGATGTGTGGTGAGAGTTCTGGCGCACTATGGCTGCCGTCGCATCATCCAGGTGGGGCTGCACACTGGTGGTGGTGGAGGGGAGTCCCCCTTACCTGTAAAGCGCTTTGAGTGGATTGTCCAGAAAAGCGCTATATAAGTGATCAACACACAAGAGAGCTAACCAGTGCCAGCAGCGGGTTAATAATCACAAGCGCCACCGGACGTGTTAATCCATCAGCACACGCTCAACCGTGCGGCACGCACCGCTATTTAAACCATCAAAACCCGCTTCTTGCTGCTCGGTCTTTTTTCCTCTCATAGAGAGGCCTTGCTTGAAACCGTCTAGCGATATCTCTTTTGGCTTTTGGACTTCCTTTTGCCTTTTGACCATGGACTTGCCTTATGTTTTGCATTGGTAGTGTATGATCAAAACCACTCAATAGAAAAAAAATGTATCACATTGAAACAATAATTTCATTTGTCCTATTTTTGACCAGAACAAGTATGTTAAAAATCTAAGATTACAAGAAGAAAAACACTAAAATGTGAGAATGTGCCATTTCATATACAGTACTGTACATAAACACTGTAATAGCAAAAGCTTAAATATAGATTGTTTCTAATTTTGGCATAATAATATTGTCTGTACACCAAGGCTTGTTCAGTGTAACAGGTTTTTATTTCCAGCTACTTATCACCTCTTTACTGTCAGCTGTGATCACCTGGGTCCAGTGCCTTCTGTCTGTGTGGCCCAGTAGTTAGGATTCTGGACTCATAACTAGAAGGTTGTGGGCTTAAATCCCATATGAGACATATTGTTACATGCTTCAGCAGAGTTTTTCATCTGTAGCACTGCAGTAAACCACCAGCCATTTAAATGGATATAAAAGTCAGTTGTTGCAGATAATAGAATCAGCTGAATTACTAAATTACTAAATGGAATTTTTAGTTCAGTAAGGATAACAACAACCAAGTTAAATTGGACTCAGCTTCCAGTATTTCACAATCATTGCTGATGTCATTTCCTCAACTGAAACATTATAAATGGTACATGTTATCCCCTTCTCTCCCTCAAATACATCTTTTTGCTTCCCTCCTCCACCCCATGCTGCTGCACCTCATTCTGCACAGGGATCCCAGAATCCTTATGTTATGGCCAGGAGATTAGCCCTGTGCCAAGCAGATTAAGCTCACTAAAACACTCCATACTTGTTTCAGAAAACCTCATTCCTGGGTGTTGTTATTCGCAGTGAATTAGTTAATATGTTGCTGTGTACAGTAGTTAATCACCAATGACTCTGTCTCTCTCCCCAGAGTTCAAGCAGCTGAGGCTGGTGAGCGAGCAGTTTGAGTGCGCAGGGAGAGCTGAGGTCTTCTACAACGGCACCTGGGGGAGCATCTGTCAAAACCGCATGGACCCTCACACAGCTTCACTGATATGTCGCCAGCTGAACTGTGGGGATTTTGATAAATTTTATACCCCTGACGATGGGTCAGGTCTCAAATGGCTTGATGATGTTCAGTGCAAAAAGCATGATGTGTCACTGTGGCAGTGCCCCCATTCCCCTTGGGGAGAGAACAGCTGTACTGAGAGAGACGTAGCAGGTTTAATTTGCAAAGGTACAGTCTTTTACTGATTTATCTTCTCTTTTTACTGCGCCTTTATTTTCAAAGCATCATGCACGTTTGCAATTTGAATAGATTTTTTTTATTCCACTCCATTTTTTCACCTTGTGTAGTAGATCCCTAATTAAATTCTTTCCAGGTAAAAGAGATAAACCAGCCGTCACCAGCCCAAGGCCTTGTACTGAAGACCCAGATCAGCCCCACTGTCCAGGTAACATCATGGTGATGGGAGACTTCTGTTTACCTGCTCTTCAGTGTGCTGAGTGATAGATTGGTCTCACACAAAGTAGGAGATCCAGTTTTTTATTTATTGACAGGGGGTGAGGTGACCTGGAAAGGCGGTCACCCATGCAAAATTTTGCTTTACAAGTGGAGGTTTCCCATAAAGGTTTTTGCTATTAGAGTGCAGGTTTGGGGTGCATGTTTTCCTTGCTAGGTTTTCCCTTTCCTGTGTACAAATGAATTGACCACATTTAACCTGAGAGCTTAGTATGTGTGCCCACACTTGACTCTCTGTTCCCCTTCTCCCTGCAGAGACAGACAGGCTGCGGCTCATGGGAGGGGTCAGTAACTGCTCTGGCCGGGTGGAGGTGCTGTACGGGGGCTCCTGGGGGACGGTGTGCGATGACTCCTGGGACCTGCGGGACGCCCAGGTGGTGTGCAGGCAGCTGGGCTGTGGGGAGGCAGTGAGCGCTGGGACAGAGGCCTCCTGGGGGGAGGGGAACGGGACGGTGTGGCTGGACGAGGTGACCTGCAGGGGCAGCGAACTCCACCTGTGGGACTGTGAGCACGCCGCACTGGGGCAGAGCGACTGCCGCCACAAAGAGGATGCAGGAGTGTCCTGTGCCAGTGAGTCTGATTGCACAGCGAGTGCTGTAACTAGGATACATCAGGACTAGAGAAACTAGAGGCTCTATCCTGATCGCATCCAGTAGTAAGACAAAGCAGTACAGCAGTTTTATCACTGCAGCTAGACTTAAGTACTAGGAAACTAGCAACTGGTTTTATCTTGGACATATCTTAAATCTTGTTCTTTCCTTAGTGTCAAAGACCTGTAGAGGCAATTTCTGCCTGCAATAATGTCCCCTCAAACATTTTGTAATATCTCTAAAAGTTTATAAAGTACAAGCCTGGTTTATGGGTTAGATTCAAGCTAAACAATTGGCATTAAGTGTAAGTCATTAGGTCTCTTATATGACTTATTGTGTCCACTAACCACACAGCAATATCCAGGAAAAATAACAAAAAAAAACAACAAGAAATAGATTTTTGTCTTCAAAGATCAATTATTTTAGTTGTGGCACTGCAAAATAGCTGGAAATGCTCGTAGACCTTGCCCTATGTGTCTACTAGCTTGGATATAAAATTGTGACAAATTGAACAAACAAAAAATAAAATCTATGTATTTTATTGTGAAGACAGGAACCAGAATGACAATTCTTGCATACACAGAAGACTTATAAATATTATTAAAAATATTAAAAAGGTGTAATTGCTATTGCTATTACTTTCATTGCTTTTGTCTCACTGCCTAGACTTCCTAGCAGGTTTGATTTGTTGACCACAGAGAAGCCCGGTAATTATGGTCACAAGGGCTGTGTGCTTCGCAAATAAAGCCTGACTTGGGTTTTTTTCTTTCCTGAGACATTTTACAGAGAGGCATTCACTTCTCCTAGGGCTCTAAATGGTTAAAAAATAATGAATGACAACAACGTGAACCAATTAGCCCCCCCCCCCTTCATACTTCGTTATTGTGGTCAGGTAAACAAGTTTTCTCTTTTAGTTTCAGCACGTGGTGCAGCAGGTACGTGCTGAGCTCTTGCTTTTGAGGTTCTATTTTGGTGTGTGAGATTGTTGTTATTATCGGGTTGTGATGGTGGGTCTTTAAAAAAGATTTATTACAGTGAAAAAAAGATGTCTCTTCTGCTTTCATTGTTGTTTTAGAAGATATTAGAGATCACTTGTAAGTTGTTGTTAAATATAACCTGTTTAATTACAGTTATCATTCATTTCTTTTTTAGTGTGCTGTAGTCACCAGCGCCCCAGTTTGGTCCATAAATGTTAAAGACTTAGTATTGTTTTCACTTTGAGAACCTAAACTTTAGGCCATATCACCTCCACAGCTCAAGATGTCTTCTATCCCATCTGAACCTCCCTGTACTGCACACAGCACCCCCACTCATGACACCTGATCATGTTACGTCTTACAACAGCTGGAACAATATTCTGTTCACTTCTAGTCTTCAGGCCAGCACCAGCTTTATATATTATAGTTCAGAGGTTCCCAGTCCTGATCCAGGGATCCACTCTTGACGTACTGCATCCAACAAGTCACCTAGTTGGACATTTTGCCAGTTTTATTTTCTGCTGAAAGTTTGAAGATTTTAAGTAGAGAAACACAGACCTGTTTTAGGTTAAGGATGTCAGAACAATTACAGAACCATGATCAGATCTATTAAGTATCCAGTGATTGAATTAAGCAGGTGTGGGGATCCCCAGGACCAGGAGTAGGAGCCCCTGTTTTAGTTAACACATACAAAAGAGATGAGTCAAAAGCTCTGTGGAAAATGGATTTGAAATCAAACTTTATAAAATTTGAATAAGAACTACTATATTTGCTAGATTTAGATTTTTTCATTGGTTTTAATTTGCAACAAATCTTCTGCTAAAAATCCCCAGTAGTATCTCTCTATGATCTCTTTTTACTTCTCTTCTGTCGCACCCAGAGCCAGAGAGGATAAAACTGTCCGGGGGTCCCAGCGCCTGCTCTGGCCGGGTGGAGGTGCTGTACGGGGGCTCCTGGGGGACGGTGTGCGATGACTCCTGGGACCTGCGGGACGCCCAGGTGGTGTGCAGGCAGCTGGGCTGTGGGGAGGCAGTGAGCGCTGGGACAGAGGCCTCCTGGGGGGAGGGGAACGGGACGGTGTGGCTGGACGAGGTGACCTGCAGGGGCAGCGAACTCCACCTGTGGGACTGTGAGCACGCCGCACTGGGGCAGAGCGACTGCCAGCACAGGAGGAGAGCAGGGGTTCGCTGTGCTGGTGAGTGCAAAGAGAGAGCTAGTGTCATTTAGACGAATTTCAAGCAAATGTAAATGTTTTTTTTCTGCGGTTAACAAGTACAATATATCGGGGATCTTACCTCCAATCACATCTTAAACCTAATCTTCTTAAAGACACCTTGCAGTTCAGTTGGGTGTGAAACTTCACTTGTTTTGCTTCATCTGGTTTTAAGCTTGACTGAGTGGTGCTTTTTGTGATTGACATTTCCTTTGGATCAGATCATCCTCGCCTTTGAGAAAGAGTTTATATTATACTTGAAAAATGCTGAGGGAAAACAATAGAAGCAGTTTTTTCCCTCTGTTTCAGATCCCCCAAAGCCCAGACCAGCCCCTCAGGCTCCAGGAGGCCAGTCCTCTCTGTGGACAGTCTGCATCGTCCTGGGAGCTCTGCTGTTCGTGGCTGCTGCCCTGGCCTGTGGGCAGAGACAGAGGAACAGAGCCCTTCAGAAAGGTGAGCTTGGTCTCCCCACTGTCTCTACCAGTCAGACTCTGTATTGTGTTCGACAGCCCAGCAGTGCTGATCAGGAGCAGGTCAGTGGTGTCTGATCTCACCTCCACAGTACTGGTCTGGCTCTGATCTGAACAATGAAGTGAATGGTGCCCCATTCAGAGAGATACACTGTGGAGTCTGAATTAGGTTCTGTAGACTTGCTGAGTTAAAAAACTCAATTTTTTATCTTTCAGTTTCAATTAGTGATTTTTGTCTGGTTATTGAGAATGAGAGAGTGTCCAGTGTCCAGTGTCTGACACTAACCAGTCAATGTATGAAGTTGTGGGATGTCCTGACATTAACAGGCCTATTTTTCATCTCCAATCAGAGATTGCTCAGTGGGAAATGACCTCCTTACCCTACCAGGATGCTCTGTATGAGGAAATCAACTACAAGCTGTACCAGCAGGGAAAGTACATCCAGCGCAGAAAAGGTTTGCTGCCTGTCTGCTTCACTACTGTCTTCTTCCTGAAGCTGGTGTCAGTTGTGCAAACATTATTCCTATTAGAGCAGTAGAAGGAGTCTAGTGAGGAGAGGAGTCTCTCAGCAGCTGGAGTGACTGTCCTGTCTGATCTCTGTGCTGTAGGGAGTGATCTCTCTGGAGGGCTGGACTACGATGATGAGGCAGATGAGGACAGTAAAACTCCAGGTAAGACAGGCTGAGGATGGAAGTAATTGTGATTTTTTTCACTTCTCGAGTTTGGGAGCTTTTCAGTGTTGGTTTGGGCATGAATAAGGAGGATTTAGCAGCTCCCCAGGCACCACCACGATTCCAATTCAAGAGCACCACGGCTGTGAGGTGGATAGTGCTATTGTCTCAAAGCCTCGGGGTTTTGTGATCAAATACTAGTTCCTTCTCCGTGGACTTTACTGTATATGGGCTTGTCAGGTTTGGATGGGTTTCCTCCTGGTACTCTAACTTCCTTCCACTTCCCAAAGATTTGGTGTGTCGATTCTTTTGGCTATACTAAATTAGAATACCTTTCTCATCCTGTTCAGAGCATATCTGGTCCCATACCAATCCCAGTGTTACGGAAAGAAGGCACTGAAGGTGAAGAAAACCTCAAAACTATACATCCAACAACAGTTGATTATTATTGCCACTGGATATGAAATTCTATATGAGTTAACATACAGTACATGCATGGTGTAGAGTTTGTTCACTGCTTGAGGATTAAGTTGACTGAGTCTCTTCTTTCTAAGGAGTCATTCTGTAGATGATCTGGACTATGATTATGTGAAGCAGAATGGAGAGAGCTCAGTGAGTCACAGCAGAGCTGATCAGTAGACAGTGTTTCCTCTAAAGGTCTATTAATACATAAAAGTCTTTATATTTATATATGAATATATATTTTGGGAATATAAAGGTATTTAATGTAAACGCACATACAGTACGTGTTTATATTGTTTTGGAAATTGATCAGGTGATTGTTCACTCTGCACCTAGATTACTAACTCACAACGGATCTTGGCAGCATATCACTTCTACACTTAAGTCTTTACTTTGCTTGCCTACATAGTCATGTATTCAATACAAGATCTCAGGTCCTATGCTCACTCTACCAAGTACTAAATCTCAGACTTTCGGAGACTGTGCTTTTTCTGGCACTGCTCCATTGCTATGGGATGCCCTTCCTCAGACCCTACAAGAGAAAACTTCAGTGACTCTCTTCAGATCCAAACTCGGACTTACCTTTTCACCATGGTCTGATTGCCTTACATTCTATCTGTATTAAACTGTAAGCTATGAAACTGTTTTTGTACTCTATATTGTACTTTTTTTCTTTTTCACTATGTACAGCATATTATTATAAACAATAAGAGGAGTATATATGCTATAGTCATCATCTTGCTCAGTAGTGCGCTCACAGGATTTTGATCAGTGATACCATTATGATAGGTTTTCAGTAACTCTCCAGGTAACAGACACTGTTCTCTTCAGGAGGTCTGACTGAGGGTGATCTGGCCTATGATGACATCCAAGAGGATGACAGGACCTCAGTATCAGGTAGAACCATAGCTGTTTCTTAGGATCTGCAGAACTGATGATGAGAATCACTCTACTTCAACCAGAATTGTGTAAGCTGAAAACCAAAGTTTTCAGTGCTTCTGTTGCTTACAGGGAAAGTCCTGCCTAGAAGAGTCTCCCCAGAACCTTCACTCCTGGGTGACAATGAATACAATGAGCCCTGTGAGCAGAAGAAGTGACCCCCTGAGCCACAGCAACTCTCCAGACACAGCAGACCTGCAGCAGACAGCATGACCAATGGACAGAGCTGCGGAGAGACAGGACAGGACTGGGGAGACAGGGATGTCAAGATGCTACTCAGCTTTTCAAAAATAGAATATTCAATGGAACTTGTTTTTATTTACTTGAGTTTGTCCTTTGCTGTTACAATTATGGAAATGATTTTTAAGTCATTTTCAAAGCCTATTCAGAAATCTCTGAGATGAAAAATAAATGTAAAACAATTATATAGAACAAATAATCGGTGTTCTCACCCCCTGGTAAGTCTATTGAAGGTTAATAATCGGTCCTGTCCAGGATTCACAGGATTTGCTCTTCATTGTGTTATAATTGTTTCATTCATTTCCCCATTCCTTTTAAAGAGACAGTTTGTAACCTGCAGTTTTATGTGTGTTATAGTTCATATTATATTCATTACAGTAAATGCTATGTCCTGCTATGTGTTATACCATGATATAAAAGACAAGATCCCACAGCGCTTTTTTGTGATCTTGTAATGGAACTGTTATTCCATTTTGTACCACCAGGAGGAGGTTGTGGTTGTCTTTTAACAGCTACGTTCACCTCTGTGTGTCCCTGCAAACAACCTTTTAACAAATCGAGTATGTATTTTAGCCTATCTTGTACACTTTAATAGAGTGGTGTGAAACTGTACTGCAACCTGAAGCATCTTTCAAATGTGCTTTCATTACCATGTCTTCTTGGTATGAGCCTATTGGTGATCCTTCTGTTTTGTTTTCTTAATAAATTTAAGTTTTAATAAGATTTTAGACAATATGTTTTATTTTGATTTGGTAGACTTGTTGCATTTAATAATCTCACTACTTATCTGCCATTTAGTAACGTAAAGTAGTAATAAAGGCCCAGGCTAAAAACTGATCTTAGGTTGTATCCAAGGAGGAATAGTTAGAAGAACTACAGGGGCAGCAGTGTGGAGGAATTGTTATGGTGCAGCAGCTCTGTCCTGCTGTGAAGGACCTTTGAAAGAACAGAAGAACAGACAGGCATCCATAAAAGACACACACTCAAAAATATGATGTTTTTGGTTACCAGCAATTCAAAACCAATGCCCCAGAAAGGAAAATCCAGTAACATTCTCCAAATTACCACAGTCTGGTATCTTGTTGGTACTCTGTTGGGCCTCAGTCTAGTATCTTGTTGGGCCTCATAGCACCATTGTACCCCTCCGGTCTCCAAGTCCTCTCCCATGTCCAGTGGTGTGATCTTTGTCCCACATCTTTCTCAATAAGAGCCCCCTGAGTGAGGTTTATATATTTTCTTCCTGGCCAGAACTCCAGGACAGCAGTGAGGGGCTGGAGTGTTTTGATGATCCCAGTAGGCAATAGGCAGACTTAACTAGTAGAAGCTAATTAATAAACTGACTGTATGTATTGACTCAGATGTAACAGTGCATCGTCTCTGCCTGCTTTGTTCCTTGTGCTTCCTCTGAGTCTCTGTTCCAGGGCTGGTCCAGCCTGTTCCCAGTCCCACATCACCACAGAACTGTGGGGTAGTAAATGGGCCTCTAGACAAACAGTGTGATGCTCAGTCATTGATGATTTGCACTTGCCCCACTGGTTACACCAGGAAGGCTTGGAGTCCTTGATTAGAGGGATGAAGCTGACACAAATTAAAACTAAAACACTCCAACCCTGACAAAGACACTGGCTATTTTTTACATATTTAAAGTCACTATACCTCAGAACCTATTGCCCACCGCACACTTTTGTCACTCTGTTCACCTGTACATTCCTTCAGGCACAAAGACTCTGTAAAAAGTCTGTGAGCTTGTCGCAGTGCAGGGATGACGTCTCTGGGTGTTTTCCCAGAAACCAAACACATCATCCTCACTGCAGAAGAAAAGTGTCTCTTTCTGAAAAAGTTTCTTTTCAAAATCTTTGCATGAAATTCCTTTAATACGTGAACAGCCAATTCAGTCTAAACTGCACAGCACTGATGTAAAAGTGAAGAATTTGCTGTGTCTTCCACTGAACAGCTCACAATATTGCAGCAGTGCTGTACTAGTCACGGTCACCATCCTCTCCTCCAGAGGGCGCTCCAACCTCCTCATGTTAGTCCTTTTAATTATTACCTGCATTATTTCCTGGTGTGCCTTGTTTTAGTTTCCCTATTTAAGTTTACTCCTTCTTGCCTTCAGGGCTCAGCTTTAGTACACTGTAGCTTGATGGCCCGCCCAGTACCAGGTCGCCCCATATCCGTGACCCGAGGGCACAGGCCTGGT